CAACGCTCTATCCACTGAGCCAAACCAGTTAGGGCAGTATAATCCTTATTTAGAATATAAATGTGAATTCATAGTTTTGCAATATTTAAGGTCATGAGTATGGCTATTAACTCATGTTATTCAGTCTCCAACATGAAGAAGGTACATAGGATTGGACCATATCTGGCCTTGACTATAAACTGTAAATTAATTAAATACTTTAATGTTAATTTGTACTGTATCTCTTTTTTAAAAAAAATAAACCAATTAACACTTGGTATTTGACACTACATTGATATGATTTCCAATTAGCAGCACGTTGGTAATAAATTCTAACTTCATGGAAGAATATACTATTTATCTCCCCTCACACCCAACTGGGTGGGAGAAGCACAGAACCCTTCAACAATTTCATAAAAGCTGGGGACCTTTCCTCTTCCCCAAAATACACATGAGTACATACAGGCAAGATGTTGCATGTAATGTCTGTTGGTTCAGGGACTCATTGAAGTCAGATTGTCTGGATTAGAACTCTTGAAATTCATCTGAAAACAAAATAAAAGATAAACTAGAATTACAATGTATTGGATGAATATAGCTTATAGATAAATTAAATGATGACAGTAACGTAATAAGAGACAAAAGAGGGGAATTGAGAATACTCTTAAAATCCCTACACTAGCCCTGCTGGTGTGGCTCAGTGGTTGAGCATCGACCTATGAACCGGAGGTCATGGTTCAATTCCCAGTCAGGGCACATGCCTGGGTTCTGGGATCAGTCCCCGGTAGGGGCCATGCAAGAGGCAGTCAACAGATGATTCTCTCTCATCACTGATGTTTCTCTCTCCCACTCCCTTCCTCATGGTAACATTTTGCATAACTACAACACATGATCCCTATCAGGAAATTGACATTCATTCTTCCCAGAGCTTATTCAGAGTTCGCCAGTTTTACCAGCACTCATGTATGTGTGTGTCTGTGTGTATAGTTCAAGGCAATTTTATCACATGTATAGTAATCACCACCACAATTCTGGTAACTAGTAATCTGTTCTCCATCTCTTCAATTTTATTTCAAGAATCTACACTAATTAAAGACAAACATGCAAATTGACCATACCTTCATTATGCCTTAAGCCATGCCCATCAGCCAATCAGAGCGACTATATGCAAATTAACCCAAGGAAGATGTTGGCCGGCAGCCACGGAGCTGGAGCAAGCAGGAGGCTTGGTTGCCCCAATGATGGAGGAAGCCAAGCTTCCTGCCTGCTGCGGCCAGGCTCTGAGCTCCACTCAAAGCAACAAAGTTTCAATTATAGAAGGTAAATAAACCCCAGATACCTGCTTTCAGC